AGAGAGAGAGAGAGAGAGAGAGAGAGAGAGAGAGAGAGAGAGAGAGAGAGAGAGACAGGGAGAATATGAAAGAAACCGGCGCCATACTGGCTCCCCGCGATTTCGCGACCGGCGACACGCACGCATGTCGGCCAGCCGGCTGGCCGACCGGCCGGTCAGCCAGCAAGCGAGTGATGCTGTTTCGCGATTCGCGATTCGCGCCGAAAGACGACGGACGCGGTCTGATCGATCGCATTCTCGAATGCTTTTCTAGATGCCGAAGCGGCGACATCTGTTCCCTTGCATTGCCTCCGCCACGCACCTGGCCGCGGATTATCCGGAAATCAGCGATCGCCCGTCCCCATCCACCGAGGAAACCCGCCCTTTACGTACGTAAAAGGACGAGAGCGGAACGCGTGTACGCGGCGTCGAGAACCGAGCAACCAAGAGGAATCGAACGGGCGCTCGCTCGCTCGCGCGCGCGCGCGCGCGCGCGATGATTCTGCACCGCTTAGGACTGTTTCATGAGTGCGAATGAGATGGGCGAACTGATAGAGTGAAAACGCACTCTCAGGTGTACACACATACACGCGTGCGACGCGCGTGCGTGTCGGACCGCCGTCGTCGGTGAGAACGACAGGATTGTTTGAAGAAAAAGAGCAGCGAGAATCGCCGAGTTGTGATGTTGGGCCTCGCGGCACCGCCGGATTCCTCGTGGTGATCAAGTGCTCCGCTACGTATAGAGTGCGTTTGCGAGGGGAAGAGAAAGAGCAAGAGAAAAGAAGAGACAGAGAGGAACGACGCGCCGGTCGCGAGTGTGCGGCGCGATCGGAGTCACGAGGCGACCCGGAATAACGATATAATAGCAGGCCCGCCGGCCGTATGTGAGTGTGTATTCGCCGCTTGGAACACGAGGAACGTGTCGAGAACAGGGGATCCCGAGTGACGTTGGGGGGGCGCGTGCAGAGCTGACTTTGTCCCCTCCCCCCCATCCTTGCGTCTATAATCGGCATCTTTGAAGGCTCACCGCAGTGCCGAAGAAGAGGATCGCTCGCCGATTTTGCGGTGTGGTCTAGGTAAGTTTTCAAGATGTTTCTTACACTTCTTTTTCTTTCTTCGTCTAACGATTTAAGAGACTATCTACTTCGTTCCGAGTTTATAGCTGTGTAAGTACTCGCAATCAGCTGACAGTGAGAACTGACAGTTACGAATAATATTTTTCATTGTTTTGGAGTCTACTACATCAATATATTCATTAGTAATAAACAATTATTTAATTTCATAATTGTTATAGAAAATAATGATTTAATTTTATTAAAAAATTTTTTAATCTTATTAAAAAATTTTATTACAAAATTGATACATCGTTTTAATTCAATTCAATTGTCTTAATTAAATCAAGGACTTAATTATTCGTTAGAATAGTGAACTCCAATTTTGTAAAAATGGAGTAAATGAAAAGTTCAAATAATGGGGAAAAATGATATCATGTATTCAATCAAAATTAATGTCATATTTATGTTGTGACTTAACCTCACAATGTAGCCGATACATGATATTAGTATTTTTTCCAAACATTTTAACTTTGGAGTTTACTCCATATTTATGATACGTGAGTTAGTCCACTGTCGCAAGCTCTTTAATTGAGTTAATTAAAGCAGTTAAGTTAAAAGAATTCAACAATTTTTTAATGGTGAAATCATTATGTTCTATAACAATTATAAAATTAGCAATTGTTTATTACTAACAAATTCTATTTCTCATGATAATTGTTGATTATCACGAGTAACACAAGTAGAAATTTAAAAACAATTCTTCTGAGTCCTTAATTATCTAAATTCTTCTATGTTTTAATGTAGGTATCAACTCTAAACAATATAATTTGATAAAATGTTGCTTTGGAAAATTAAATTTGTTTTCTTATTTATTTACGTCAAATTTATTTTACGTCAAATTTCGCGCTGATACTAAACATATTGTACAATATAAAAAGCAAATACATATGGAATAATATTTTTATTTATATAATTTTTACAAAAAATTATCCGTTTATAAAATATCTACTTATAAAGTGAAAATACAGTTTTATTTGAAATTTTTGGTCTTCACTATCAAGCATTTTACTAGCATGATAAATACGAATTCATCATTGTAATATGTAAACTGTGTCAGATTCCTTTTCCTGTCTTCACGCAAGTAAAGTGTTTTATAGTTTTCAGGGTTAACTCTTTCGTGCTCAGACTGAGATATATTCTTCTACTTATTTCTTGTCGCGAATCATATTTAGCAAATGATATCCCTTGCAATGTGTGTCTCGACATGCATATAATTTTTACAATTTTTTTAGCTTAAAAATATACTAATTACATATTGTATAATTTAAAATAAATCTAACGAAAAAACGAAAAAACCGTAAATTATTTCATGTACATTCACATAATATCTGATTAAACAATAATTTTTACGCGTACCAACTTTTACTTTGTTTATAATTACATATGTATTATTAAAACATTAGATAAATTTCAAAGTTAAATATTTTTAATGGTGTTTGTTTTTATTATTATTTTTTTATGTATTCTAGTACAAGTTTTCTTATAATTTATGAAGAATTATATATGTTATGAAGAATTATCAGATAAGCTTTTGAGAAAGAGATTAAAGTATCATACAGAGATTATCATATTAATTGGCTAATACGTCATTCATTCAAGTGACATCAGTTAATTCCGGCAAGCAATTTATCTCTCGAGTTATCTGTGAAGTGATATTCACTCCGCCTGTTCTTAAATTATAAAGAGATATATATTGAAGAAGAAGATATTTGTATTAATTTTCATATAAGATGTGCATGATGAGAGATGATATAAATTTTTCGATATTTCCTGCTTCGATTGATCAAAGTTTTGGATGGAACATATAATGAAACAGGTCGACGTATTAAAAAATGAACAAGATATGGCATATCTTGTTATTTTGTGATTTTATTGAAACATAGGTCACCTTGCATGTTATTTCGACATGTAATCCGCTATATAATTTAACATTACGCGTTTATACCGTAAGCAGTGACGTCAGTATTGCCCATCGGGCAATACTGACCGTGTAAGTATATGATTTACGAAAAGTATAACGTTACTCACGATGCACAGCATCTATTTTTGCGTATTATTTTCCTGCGTAATTCAGCGCCTCGATAATAATATTATGTTTAATGAGACGATCTGGTGAGTGATTTACTGTAATTCACTTGTATCCAGTTCGTTACGTATCGTATATCACGAGTATTTACAGATTTATATTACGTAATAGCAGTGTAAACATAACATTCGCATTCTAAAGTACGATACGCGTACAACTCATTTTGCACAAATATGCCAAAGTTTGGCGATTTTAATGCATATATTGCTAATAACGAAAAATGATATTATGATTAATAAAACATAACATTGATAGTATTATTCATTTTAATAACATTAATAATAACAACGATGGCAACAATGTGCCAATAAAATTAACTGATATTTAATAGAATTAATAAAAATATTATTAATAAAAAAAGATTATGAATGTTATAATGATACAAAGTAGAAAGTTTTTTTATTTGTCTTATTTTTGTCAGTTTGCAGTGTTAAAAATATACAGTAAATACGTAATAATACTTAATAGTATAATGTCTGTTTTTAAAAATGATGAATGTTAATTTTTTTTTTAATGAATTATATAAATAATATATACGAAATATATAAATATATGAATATAAATTGTGCAAAATTGTTAATGGAAAACGAAAGCTAATTTAATGATTGTACTTTATGGAGCTTGCTGTAACAGTGATAATGATCATGCAGCTTTAGTACTAAACGGTACTTGACTCCATGATAATTAATCCATTTTTTTTTTTCGTAACTGGAGCAGACCTTTTCCCGGGCTTTACTCACGCTTGCTGGAGGGACTAGTGCTGGTAACGCAAACGACTTTAACGTGTTCAGTTTCAGAACGTGCGTTCTAATGAACTTCATCTAGATAGCGCGAACGCGCGCGCTCGATTCTTTTTCGCCTCGTCACGCGATCGATCGTTCGCTCCTTCGCGTTCGACATTCAATAACCGGGAGCCGCTCTCGAGAGATCATTCGGCTTTCAATGCGGGAGGTCCGCGACTTCGTTCGACTCGTCCACGTCCGTAATGATGAAATATCATATTATCGACGTACTTTTATCGCCGCGTTCTTCAATGAACTTCCTCTTGCGCCGCAGGAATCCACAGGCTGAGAGCAAATGGATATAGAATTAGTATCCTCGAAAATTGATCGTTTTTACAGATTATGTATGCAGGATAGGATATATAAAAAATATCCACTTTAATGATATTCTTTAGATATCGGTAATTATTTTTTATTTAATAATTTAATTTTAATTTATTTTTTTATTAATAATTTTTTTTACAAAAAATGACGTTATTGGATTTGCAACTTTCCACATGAAGCGAGGTTCCAATCCCAAATCTATTTGTCTAGTTTCTTTTGGTGGAGCTCGCCCATAAGAATTTGCAAAGTCTATATTTATAAGGTCGCAGTTTCCTGAATTAAAAGAAGTTTGAAAGAAGAAAGAAAATCAATTTTAAACTAGTTGAAAAGTGATGAGTGAAATGAAAACTCGATAGATCGATAGCAATTCTTGTGTAGATTTTCAGATTCATATCGTTTTCTCATAAAACTGTGATTACATATTTATAAAGTTCTGTATTCTTGTCTGAAGTTATTTCACAGTAGCACAATAAATTCATGTGAATGTGGAGAGATCCCTCAATTATTCAACCTTCTGAATCTCTTAAAAAACGTGTAAAAACGGAACTGCTTCCTTTTTTCTCTTATGTCTTCGTTTTGGCGCTTTCGCTGGAGTTAATCGACGCCACAAAAGAGTTCGTTGTCGACTACTGGCGACTTTAAAATACGGCCGGCTTTCGTGGCTCTGACCATTAACAGGCGGCACGGTTAACCTCAGAAAGTCTATGGGTCGGCCTTCCGCCGGCCTTCCGCGGGCAATTTCATTCCGGTATATGATGAGGAAGGATGGCAAAGAGAAACGAGGTCGTCTGTTCGTTCTTTTTCTCTGTACCTTTTCCGGTTCCCGACTCGAAAAGAAGCGATCTTGCAATGTTGTTATTAGAAGTGCGGATAATGACTCCCCGATCGTCTTCCCTATCTTAACATGATTACTTTAGAATAATAACACGATTTTTAATTTTTATCTATTGTCAGTCGTATATTAATTTTGCTTTCATTCAATTTTTATTACATTATTACATTATTCTTTATTATCTACATTCTACATGAGATGTATACACTGAGAGAAAGATGTTCGAAGTATTGCGAAACAAATGTTGTTTCAACTCATGATGTTTTTCTCCGATATTTATTAATTATATGAAAAAAATTTGATTGTAATGACGAAGTTTACATTTCTGTAAAATATATCTTATTAGTTATAAAAAAATAAAAAATAGATGGCTTATTTGCTGGAAATAAAATTTTATTTCGTCGTATTTAAATAAAAATTGATTTCAGTGAAATAAAAATATTTCTCACAAACAAATTTTTAAATATCTTTTCCTTAATGTTTATTAGGAAAAGTTTATTCGATCTCATTTATAACGATCTTTTTCTCGTTCCTAAGAAAACAGTTCTGAATACAGTTCTGAAATCAAATAATCGTTCACTATTTTTGCTTAGAAATATGCTATCCCGCAGGGATAATCCACACAGATATTTGGCTTTAGCAAACATACTCGTGTTCGTCTGTAGACGCACAGACATCTACACATTAAACCTATATTCTTTTGTCAATAATAGTGCAATGAGTAGATAGTTGAAGAAAAGGGCAAAAAATAATCTGGTTTAATAAGAAAAATAAAAATAAATTGGAATATTTTAGATGTTCGGATATGTTAATAGGTACTTTATTTAGTTGCAAAAATTTAGAAAAAGAGAGACTTTGTTCCCTATTTTTTTCGTGCCATTGAATTCGGCAAATACGCTTGTTTCGACCACATATTAAGCGGACTCCCTTTGAAATA